TCAAATGAGAGGAATAGATTATCTGTTCATTCTCCCAAGATTTCTATAAATATTTAGAAAAAAGGCCAAATATATTATGGAAAATTTGATGTTATATAAAATTTATCTAATAATGAAATAAAAAATTTATCAATTCTTTTAACAAATTTTTTATCACACAATGGTTTTCACCTCTCACTTATAATTTTGTATATAATTTACACTTACCTCAAAGAATCATTTATCATAAATAGAAATCAATTATGGGTCCAACCTGATTGCCTCACAAAAATGTGGTAATATTTACCCCATTGAAAATGATTATTTAAAAAATTATTAGCAAAAATAATTGCCATGGTTCAAAACCCAGATAACTTATTAAGTATACATATTAAGATTAAATAAAAATAGCTTCATTCTTTATTATATTTATTTATCTATCATCAAATTAAGGAAAATGCAATTATATGCTTAAAAAATTACCTTTTTAAAATCCAAAAATGTTTCTTTATATTGTTAATTGAGTAGGATTATCTTATCATAAAAGGGATTCTTTATTCAAAAGGTCCTTATTATAAAAAAATATATATTGATAATTTAAAATTGATACTGTGAAAATCTAAATCCCATTATGTAAATGAATTTTCTAAAAATTTAAAAAAATAAATATAGTGTATAATATTTATAAATTGACAGATATCTTTTCTTTAATTGACATTTTTCAGAAAATCAACGATAATCATATCGATTATTGGATTTAAAAATATCATAATACAAGTCAAAAATTACCCTCCAAAAATCAATACCTACCCCCCAAAAACAAATGCCTACCCCCCAAAAATCAATATCTACCCCCCAAAATTAATACCTACCCCCCAATGCCAATATTTTTTGGAGGCATTTGTCTCCTACCCCCCCGGCCATGTAGACACTGATAAGGGTGGATTAAAAAATTTATGGGGGCTTCATCCAGACCCAATTTTGGGCGGGGCTTTGGCCCGTTTTTGCCTGGCCTTCGGCCGTGTTACCTTAGTCTATATATAGTCATAAAATATTTTTACAAGATTGGATGTTAATTTTAATAAAAAAAAATAAGCATGGAACAAATATGAAATATATTTTTATCAGTTTATATAAAATATAATAAATTACTTGTACATACATTAATATAAAAGCATGGTAATAATTTATTCCAAACAAGTATAAGAAATTTATTTATAAAAAGAAAGTAGACATATAGTTGAGATTCCTCTATTATATAGAATTGGTTACAAAATACTAGGTAAAATTCCATTTTTACAGACATATTATACAGTTGGAGAATATATTACAGTTAATATTTTAACAAATTTTACTATCAATGCTCTTGATAATAAATATAGCAACAATTTGCATTCAATTATTTAACGCTATCTATTTATTTTAAATAAAAAATTATATTGAAAATTAATCTTCATATTATTCATCCCAAAATGTCTTTAAAAAATTTTTTCTGATGTCCTTATCAATATTTTATAGTTTTATGTAAAATATATAATTCGCTATATTGGTAAAAATTATTTGATTTTCATATGATAATTGATAAAATTAGATATACTGTAAATCTACGACATATAATATTCCAGTTTGTTGGGCTTTTATTTTTTTATTTAATTTAGGATCTAATTTTATCAATAGTTTTATAATTATATTTTACTTTTATTAAGATAAACAAATTACAATTACTCACTTTATAAAAAAACTATATTTGATATATATTATATTATTTAGTAATTTTAAAGATGTATAATTAATAATGAATAGATTTCACTCTTAAGACGTATCTTTGGATTATATTCCATTTTTTTAATACATTTTTTGCTTTTTTTTATATATAAATGCTTTTTATCCAAAAATATATGAATTATGATATATAGTTTAAAAAAATATCAACTTTTACATTCTTCCTTTCAAATTATTGATTAAAATATATGCATACATTTTTGGGGGTCAGAGAGTGGGGAGAAGACTATGGAAAATATTCTTTATTAGCTTAAAATGATATTCACAAAAAGTGATAAATCTCTAAAGGGGGGAGGGGATTTCCCTTCCCCCCGCCTGGCTACCCCTATGAGTCATTTATATATCATTAAAAATGGAAGATAATCTTATAGAAATTTAATATCTCACAATAATTCTCTCGATAACTTATCTAGCTTCCATCATGTTATCTAAATAGAAACTCTAACCACCATATAGTATAATAATTCAACTAAAAAAAATTTATGGAGGGGGGCTTCGCCCCCAGACCCCCAATTTGCGTCCGCTTTTGCCTTGCCTTCGGCCGGGTTTTATATTTTTATATTATACTTTTATTAAATTTGTTAACTCTGCAATTATTCTGAATTTTAATTATCTCATTTATTATATTATGCATACAAAATAAACTCGCATATAAATAATTAAAATAATACAAGACATTTCTAAAAATAAAATTGTTTAATACAAAATCTATTTATTACAGTATAAAATATTTTCGATTGCTCATATAAAAAAAATTTGCGTCTAAAGAATTAGAAGTGATAAAAAAGATTAATTAATTCACACATATGCCTTAATTGATATTTTAAAAACCACATAATGCAATAATATAATTCTTAGCAACTTACATTGACAAAAGGTTATCAAACTAATATAACTCTCTGTTACCATTTTACCCATTTATAGAATAGACTAATAAGGAAATCAAAATTCTTGAAAAAGAGAATATAAACGACCAATCCAAATCATATAACTATTAAGTGGTTAGAGCTTCCTTTTAGATGACATGATGGTAGCTAGATAAGTAATCGAGAAAATTATTGTGAGATGTTAAATTTCTAAAAGATTATCATACATTTTAAATGATATATAATATATAAACGACTACACAGTTGTCCATTATTGTTAAAATATGCAATCATATGCTCTCAGCCGTTGTAGTAATAATCTTAAATTACATAGCAACACAAATAATAGATGCTGATTAATTTGCAGTGATAGCCATGACACTCACGATGTAAACTAGTATCAGAATTTATTATGTTGGATAAATTGATAAAATAAAAACACTAATTTGGAAAAAATAATTGTGCAAATATATTGAAGCCTTGAGTTATTTACACGGCAAGGATGCCATATTAGAAATGAATAATTTTGGATAAGGACCAGAATGATATGATGAAACAATTAAGATTTTATATATTGTCGCACCACCTCTAGTTGGTATATTCTCAGTGATATATCATTGTATATTCTATCTTAAAATATAAGTAGTTTGTAAAAATATCAAAAATATACTTGTATTAAAAATTTAACTCAAAACTTTTGAAAAAGAAAAAAAATAGCTTTCCTAACGTAAAAAAGAAAAGAAATCAAATTTATTACATCTATTGTAGGATGAATAATAAAATGTTTAATTTTTTAAACTATTAATAACTATATAGATGGCGTTAAATACTTAAAAGCAAATTGTTACTATATTTATTATCTTAAGCTTTTATTAGTAAAATTTATTATAATATTAGCTGTAATTTATTATAACAGTCAAATACGTCTATAAAAGTGGCATTTTATCTAATATTTTATAAACAACTGTATATAATAGAGGATTATAAATATTTGGACCTTAAAATATTTTTAGGAATAGGTATGATAATAAAATTTAAAAATAAACAGTTGATAAGTCATTTTGAACTCTGCTAATTACATTATTAAATATTTTAGTTTTCACTTAATAAATGATTTTATTTATTTAATTATAGGGGGCTATTCAAATTTTCCAGGGGGCTCGAACCCCTGTGCGCCCCCCCCCCCCAGCGACGCCACTGATTGAGGCATATGTATGAAAAATTAACCTTTTTTATCACTTGTAATTCTTTAGACGCAAAATTTTTTTATACCAGCAATCGAAAATACTTTATATTGTAATAATAGATGTTGTATTAAAAAATATTAATTTTAGAAATGTCTTGTATTGTTTTAATTATTTATATGCTAGTTTTTTTTTATGCATAATATAATAAATGACAAAATATGAAATTCAGATAAATTGTTCAAAGTTAGCAAATTTTAAAAAAATATAATAGCTGACCGAAAGCCCTCAAATTAGGGGATTTGGGGGGTTTCGCCCCCTATAAAATATTTTTTTAGTTGAGCCATATGATATTGTAAAGGCTAGCGACGCCCTTGCTTTAAATGATAAAATGTTTTTTTTTAAAAAAATTAGCTTTCAAATATGACCAATCAGAGTAATTCAATTTAATGATTCACTATCCTGTTATAAATCCAATTTTTTTTTTTAAATATGAAAAACACAAAGAAAAAAATTAATATACAAGATATTGTAGAGATAAATTTAGAAAAGATTCAAAGAACTAAATTATTGGGTGATTCCGCTGGAAGCGTTCAAAAATTGGGTCTTAAAATCTTTGACCAAGATGAAGTGGAGAGAACAATATATACTCAAGTTTTTTTTCAATAAAATAGTAAGTATATTGGTCTTGTTTAGGTAGATAAAGCAGTGCGAAAACAGACTCTTAATGATTTAAAAAAACAGATTATTTGTGAAATTAAAGAATATAATTTATTTATTAAAAAGGGTTCTCAAGATTTTTCAAATTATATTTCTGTTATCAATAATAATAATATATTAAATTTGGAGAAGTGTGAAAAACACATAGATAGTTTAAAGTTACAACTTGAAAAAATTGATAATGAGATATCAAATGAAATTTGTCAAAATGAGAATTTACCAAACCCTAATAATTTGACTGATAATGATAAAATAACTGTTAGTTATAGGAAAAAAGTTGTAAAGCACAGTATAGAGATATTAAATCATAAAAAATTACTAAATGCACTCCAACTGAAGTTTTCTTATAAGGATGATCAAAATAGTCAATATTACAAAAATAGAATTAAAAACATATTAAGCGGATCTTATGAATGGATATTAAATGCTTATAAAATTTCAATTAATAATAAAAATTTGCTATACAAGATTGATGAAAGTATATTAAAATTGACTTAATTTGCACAATGATCAATAGATTATAGAATTCCAATATTCATATGGGAACAACTTTTTACCCATCAAAAAGTTGCTTTAGAATGGCTAATTAAACTTCATTTTCAAAATATAGGTGGTATAATTGGAGATGATATGGGCTTAGGTTATTAATTTATTTTTTTTTTATTAATATATTTAGGAAATAACAATCTTAGGCAAGACCATACAAGTAATAGCTTTCCTAGTCACATTGGCAATAAATTTTCAGGAGACCAAGACACAATCTTTTACCAAAGATTCTATTATGCAAAATAAAGAAAGGCTAGAAGTGATGGACATTTCATTCATTTTCTCTAAATATAGTAGACTAATAGGGCCTGTTTTGATAGTTTGTCCTGTTACATTGATTCATCAATGGCTTCAAGAATTCCATTATTGGTGGCCTTTTTTCAAAATTTCAATATTACATCAATCAAGTTATATTATTATTATGTATATAACTTAAATATAAATCTTTTTAAAATAACTAATCATAAAATATCTATATCTGGCGAAGTCTTTGTTGTTTTTATTTATAGGATTTAAGGGCCATTTTTTTGGACTGGGTTGGATGAGCTCTGCCTTTAACTATTCATTTATAATAATAATTATTGAAGTTTTATATTTTAAATAATCATAGTTTCCAATCATATTTATTAAAATTTAATTTATTAAGCATCTTGATAAAACTTTTGATAATCTATATTTTAAGACATAAATCAGACTTTGTTTAGGGAGGTATAATTATGCTTCAAAAAAGTGAAATTACCATCTATATTACACTTATAATAGGAAAAACAATAAAACTAGCAGTCACACTGCAAAATCTTGATTTCAAGAGTCTTTTTTTGCAAAAATGTACTTGTTTTTATTTATAAATTCTCTGCCATCATTGTAAAGTTCAAATCTTAAGCATTATTAGAATTTTTTTTTATATCTAGTAAAATTTAATAAGGTCTCTTATTTGCAGTATGATAACCAACCAGTGACAAAGCGTCAAGTTTACTTCTAGGGAAGCAATCAAAAAAATTTTTTTATTTTTACTTTAGTCAAACTCAAACCATTAAAACATAAGATTTAAATAAGTAGTATTCGTCTTTGTTTTTGAGTAAAATGATCAAGTACTGCATTATAAAAGTTAAGATTTTAAATTTTTTAATAATTTTTTTTCAATCGAAATCAAAGATAAATTCGATAATCGATTTTGGCTCATCCTGTTTCTGTAATAAGATTTGATTCTTTTTAAAGATGAAAAACTCCATTCTGCACTTGCTATTGTTGAAGCCAAAGTTATGATGAATTTGCATAATTTAAAAAACTCTTAAACTTTTCATCATATCGGTGCATATTAAAATTCAAGTATTTCATTAACATTCTTTTTCTTTCTGAATTCAACATCTAGAAACACTACCTTTAATTCGGTTCCAGATTGTGTAAGTCAAAAAATTGAGAATAAGTGTCGTTTGAATTATCTAATAAATATTTGGGGAAATAGATTATTTGGAATTTACTAATATCTAACAATTCGACGAATTTATTATTTTTTGGTGTAAGACATATGAAATAGAATTAATCAAATCATTTTGAATATTGCTTGATAGTACAATAAAAACTACACTATTTCTAAATGATGTTTCAATAGTAAATTTTCTTCCGTGAGTAAATAAATAAATTAAATATAATTTCCTCAATTTACAGAATTAGAAGATTCATCATCACCACAAAATATGAGCTCCTGAATTACAAGAAAACATATATAGTTGATCAATATTTTCAATATTTCTCTATTTGATTTGACTTTAGAATTATGCTGTTCGATTGATATTTTATGCATCGAATCTATCATATTTTCAATGCGATTTTGGCCAAATGTTTTTAATTGAATCATCGACTGCAAATGAGCGGTTGATTCTTTGCCGTTTAACTGCCTTTGAAAAATTATTCAAATCCAAAAATCCTTTATCATTCTAAACATATTTTTCCTTTGGAAATAATAGGCATGACCAACAATATAGAGAATTGGAAAATTCCAGCGAGCCATTCATATTTTTCATATTTATCGATAGAAAAATTACGGATGCAAGTTTTGATTTCTTTTTTTAAGTTTTGTAAAATTGGTTTTGGTTTTTCTTTTTCAATAATCATTTTTTTCGCATCAAAATTTCTTGAGCTAGGTGATAATGTTAATAAATTTTCAATAATAGAATTACAATTATAAACATTGATTAAGGATTTTAAAAACGAAAAATTTTTTATTTTAGAAAAATAAGGAAAAAAATATTATATATAAAAATTTCTTTCTCTTTTATTTATTAAAAAAATAAGCATTTTTTTATTTGCTTCCCTAATGCTTATTTTTTAATGGTAAAATTACACAATACCATGGCATGATTTTCTCTTTATTTATTAAAAAAAATAAGCAATATTAAATTTGCTTCCCTGATGTATATTTTTTTAAACGTAATAAAAATAATAGTAAATTTTTTAACGTAGTAAAAATAATAGTAACTTTTTTAACGTATAAAAATAATAATATTTCTTAAGGCTGTGTCCTAAATCAAAAAAAAAATTTCTTAAAATTTTTGCGAATTGCAAAAATTACGGGAGATTTGAGAGATACGAAACATGTCCCGATTCATACATTTATTTTCAATTTTAAAATGTTTGATATGAATGATTTACTATTTCTATTTTTTATATTATTTGTTGATACGACTGAGAGTAGAAGAAGGCATAGATTTTTAGAAAGCCGGTATATATGATATTATTTATATTATATGTATTAATTCTAGAGATCAAGGACTTTTTAAAATATTTGATAGTATTCCATCTTATCCTGACAAATTTCGTCAGATGTTCCACATGCATGTGGAAACATTCAAACATTCTTATAAATTTGGAGTCTATAGACACCGCTATAGTTATACATAAAAACTCGATTAGTATGAAACATCGACTCTATATAACACTCATGTATGATGATTATTTTTTTTTATAATCTGTATATATTTATAAATATTTGACAACAGGTATGAGCTTTAGAAAAATCGCATTATATGCAAAGATTGGAAAAACATCAGTAAGCACAATTGTCACAGCAACATGTAGGTTATTATGGGTAGGTCTACAGCCCAAGCATCTCTTTTTACCAACAGTTCAACAGATGCTTGAAATATCAGCAGGATACTTCAGGAAATCAGGTTTTCCTCATATAATAGGTGCTATTGATGGAAAATTGGCAAAATAAAACAACCTAAAAAAAGTGGATCCACATTTTATGATTATAAAAAATTTAATTCCATTGTGATTCAAGGTATTTCAGATGATCAAGCTAGGTATTTATATATTTTCTAGATTTTAATTCTTTTCTAGATTCATGTTGATAGAAGTTGGGTTTCCGGGATCTATATCAGATAGAAGTATATTTTCTAAAAGCCTATTTTATGAAGGGATGATCAAAAAAATCATAAAGATTCCCAATCCAAATTTTTTACCCCAAACAGATATATTATCACCTTACATATTTGTAGGTGATGATGCATATCCTTTAATGGATTTTATAATGAAACCTTATAAAACAAATTTGAATGATTATAAATTAAATTTCAATACAAAATTATCAAAAGCCAGAGTATCTATAGAGAGATGCTTTGGCATCATGAGTGCCAAATTCAGACACCTTTATAAACCATCAGAAACTAATATTACCAATACTATACAAATAGTTAAGGCTGAGTGCCTATTGCACAATATTATAATTGATCTTGAGGGAAATCATTCTACATCAATAATTCATGAAGATTATCCTATTCCAAATTTTACCCAATCTCAGTTCCAGCGATGGACTGAGAGCTCTAATAATATCAGAGAAACATTTAACTTATTTGTAAATAATTATATGTAAAATTTTTGTATACATTTATTTTTTAATTCTCATAACCTTATATCTCTTATGAATGTTTTCATTTGTCAAAGTTATATAATTTATTTATAAATATTCAATAAAAAGTGTTGTTTTGATTATATTGAATAAAGTTATTTAATTAATTTAATGAGGAAAACTGCTTATTAAATGACTAAATTTACATTTTTTAATAAATCATTAAATATAATAATTTTTTTTATAAAAATATACAAAATATGTTAAACATATTATAAATATGGTATAAAAAATAAAGATATAAGATTACATATATAAAGATATATTATCTAAAAATTTCAATTTCATTTGGTATATTTCTTTTTCAGTCATTCGATTAAAGGTTGTTTGGAATGATTTAAAAAATGCCTGAACATGATGAATATCATCATCATATGATATTTTTTTTGCAAAATCTATTTCAAAAATAAATAATTATTAAATATAATAAATATTTACCTTTAAATATATCCATCTAGTATCATATTTTTTAATTCTTTTAGATTTAGATTTTTCCTTTTAGAGGAACAAGGATAAATATTTTCAATATTAGAATTGTCTAACTATTATTAAATTAATAAAATATATAATAAATATTTAACTTCTAATATTTCATTCTCAGACATATTAATGTCTATAGGACTAAATGTATTAACTATATCATTCAAGATATATTGTGCACTAGGTTCATCATTCTAAAACATAGTTTATTATATAGATCAAATTTCATGTTATAATACTTGTGAATGTGATGATGTTTGAACATTCAACACATCTTGGATGATTGGCTCATATTCCTAAAATAGAGATTAAAATACAGTTCTAATTTCATGTTATAATACATGTGGAGATATTTTTTCATTAATAGAATCCTTAGATAGTTTCAAACTGAAACTAGCTTGGGAATGCTTACAAATATCTTCAACATTTTCTTTTAGCCAATAATAATCCTCAATAAATTTGAGTTGCTTGCTATTCAAAATATTTGCACCTGAACCTAAAATATAAAATAATATTTATATATATTTATAATTATACCTGATTTTCTGGATATAGCAAAAATTTTATTAAATTTTGCCTTTATTCCAGAAAATTTTCTTTTTATTTCTTCGTAAGTAAGATCATATCTCTTTCCAATCTCCTCCCATTTGATTTTGCTACCAGCAGTGTCTCTGTATTTAAGGTCACTTCACTAACATTACAAATATCTATAAGGTCTAATAGTTTCCATCAATTGATATTCGTTCGCCATTTTTATTCCCTCAATTCGCAAAAGTTTAAGGAAAAAAGATTAAAGTTTTACGAATCATATAATTTTTAAGAATCACATGATTTGCGCAAAATCGAAAAAATCATTTAGGCCAACATTTTAATTTACCATTAAAAATAGCTTATATAATTTTTTTCGTTAGATTCGCGTTAATTGCGCGAGATAATATATATGCAATTTTTGATATTTAGGACACAGCCTAATATAGTAAAAATAATATTAATTTTTTAACGTTAGAAAAATTATAT